ACAGGTCTCAGAGGCCCCACAGCTCCCACAAGTCTCGCAGGTCGCACACGTCCCGCAAGTCGCCCAGGTTCCGCATGTCTCGCAGGTCCCACAAGTTGCACAAGCCCCACAGGGTCACAAGGTCTCACGCGTCCCACAGGACCCGCAGGGCGGCACGCTAAAAGACGAGAGGGGGTCGCGCGGAAACCCGATACTTAGGCAGAATGAACCATCCCCGTGGAAAAGTTGATAGTGGCGCAGGGATGGAAGCCGAAAACATGTTGAATCAAACATGGACCCGCGCATCAAATGACATCCGCCTGTGAATGTTACGGAAAAGCGTCTCGTCTGCATTGCGCACTGCATATTCGCCATCCGACTGGTGGGAACGAAACCGCCAAGCAAAACGTGGAGCCGCCCACGCCACCGACCCTGTGAAGGAGCAACTTGGAAGAGCACCAGGGCACTAAGTGGCGTCCGCCTCCCAATGTTGCCACTGGGCGCGCAAGCCAAAGTGTGGCACATCAATGACCGGGCGCATGGTGCACGCCTGCGCACGCTGCCAGCATTAAAAGGCGAATCTCACTTAATGACCCTCTTTAGGCGCTGCCGTCTGCAGATCATTCACGAGGATCGTCTTGTTGATGTTGTTACAAGTTTTCCCAGCTGTGTAATTCATGTATTGTCTAGGAGTGCGCGCCAGATTACGTAGGCCGATCGCGTTTGCTTGGGAGAAGGCGAGCGAGCGCTCTTACCTCTGGGCGTGCGCTGAGAGGTCGTGCGAAAGAGCAGTCTGGCAGCAGACGGCGTGGGCAGAGTGAACCTCGCGCAGAGCTCGCGGGATTTGAAAGGGGTTTTGGCGTGCTGGTTAAGTCCTCGTGGACTTCATGAAGGCCTTCGAGCAGGTTCAGCATCGCAGCAACATTGCCTTCTGCACGTCGCTGTGGAGACGGGGTTCCTGTTGGGACAATAGAGGCTCCAAGCGGAACTCTATCGGGCCCCTAGATACGTGGCGTTGGGATATGCGGTTTCGGATGCGACCGAGGCTCCACAAACTGTACTTCCAGGGGATGGGTGGCCTACGTCTCTGCTCAAGCGGGCGCCCAAATTGCCCCTGGATAGGATCTGGAGCATTCCTGGGGCCGTCATGCCCACGGGCGTCGTGGCCGGCATTCTTTTGCAGCGCGCAGGAGGGCGTGATCGCGTCACTCGCGAGCTGTTCCAGGCAACGCGCGATCTTCAGAATGCTGGCAGAGCTTGACTTGCGCATTCACGCTGACAAGACGAGACGAGGGTGCTGCGCAATGACCCTCAGGCACGCGCACAGATTGGTTTGCCACCTGTGCGAGGGCTGTTCGGCACGATCGTAATCCAGGGGTCGATCTCACGCCGGGGACGCGTATTGATCGGCGCGTTCGCAAGGAGAAGGCTGGGCAAGCTCGAGGGGAGATTTTGCGCATGATGAAGTTATGGGTCGACACCAGGAACAAACTAGCTGCTGCGCGTGTTGCCAGATCTGGCGCCGTCCAATTTTGCACGCGGCATGTCGGTCACAAGTTGCAGCTGTGGCGAGCTGGAACATCTGAGAGGTTTGGCGTTTGCCGCGTGAAACCTCGGTCGGCAGGCAAGAGTAGCGCGCTGACGCGAATGTGCCATGGGCACCTGGATCCGATGTTCGAGGCTACGTACTTACCTGCGGTCGCCTTCGTGAGGGTGCTTCGGGATTCTTGGACTCATGAGAGCATCTGAGAGACGGCCATGCTTGGGCGTTCGGGGATCAAGCACTGGACTCAGGTGAAGGTTATTTTGGAGGTTGTCTAACTCTCCTTGGAACGTGTTGAGTGGACTGTCGGAGCCCTTCAGACGGTTGACTCACGAAGGTGACGCTATCGATGTGAGGGACACCTGCCCTTGGCATATCGCCCAACTTGGGGGGCGCGCGGCTAGGGCGTGGCCCTGAGCTTGTGCTTATGTGGAGGAATCCGTGGGGCATCTGTCTGAGGGCGCGGTTTGGGAGTCTCTGATCGCCATGACTGGCACTGGACGGTGCAAGACTAGCGGATGCAAGCGGCTTGCCCGTCTTGATCTTTCGCGGAGTGCGTCTGTGCGGCCCATGATGGTCAAAGGGCAGTGGCCGATGGCCAGGAAGCATGCTGCTGGGTTCCCTGCTGACGGTGAGTGCCTTTCTCTGTCCTGAGGGTACCTTGCTGCACAGGCATTTGCTCTGCGAGAATAGGGACGCGCCAGCGTACCCACCGGAGCATCGAATGCTTACTGATCGGGCCGACGTGCACCCAGGAAAGCTTCTGCTGGAGAGATGGTTGTTTTTAGAACAACAGGCACATGGCACGAAGATGCCCTGCAACATATCGCACCGAGGTTGGGCAGACCATTGGGTGTCAGGCCCTTCCGAATGGCCCGAACGGCCAGATCAAGAAGTCCCACGCAACAGAACATAAAAAAGGGGAAGACGAGATGCTTGTGGGCCGATGTTGCCTTCCCTCCTGGCTGCCTGGCTGGA